GGTTTCACAAAATGTTTGCCAAAGGTTTTAATTCCCCGGATCCAAGTGAGTAGAGAGTGCAACACTGTACCTTGCAGACAAGGGAGAGGTCTTCTCTTGTCGGGCAGTGTTTGATCATTACGGGCTGAGAGGTTAAGTTTAAGACCATCTAGGGTTTATGCCTGATGGGCTAATCTCACATAAGTCCATAGTCCTTGGGCCTTCATAAGGTAGTTGGACCCAGGGACCATTTAGTGTAAATGTTGGGCCTGCTAAGAGCCCATACTGATGGGCTCAAGGGTTCATTGCCTTCAGCAGTGAATTCGGCTAGGCCTTGTAACAGAGGCTGGGCTGAACCCATATGGCTTTTGTGGAGATCAATGCTAGGGTCCCACGCCATACAAAGAGAGCCAAACTAACCAGCATATAAAAGGGATGAGTTATATGACTTAATGGGCCTAAAGCCCATTTCAAACTGGGCTTAAGTGACTTAATTAAATGGGGCAAATTTGGTTTATAAGCTAATTAGGATCAGCAAGAGGATAAGATATGTCTTATCCACTTAAGAGTCCAGATCCAAATATCAGATTTGGATCAAGAAACTCCTTCCTAATTGGATTAGGAAGTTGATCCAAAGAAAACTATAAATAGGGGGTGAATTCACCAGTTTTATACACTCAGCAATCTGTAGAATTCTCCTCCAGTTCTTGCTGCCCCTACCCAGTTCGATTTCCACTTTTGGATCTGATCAAGAATAGTTCTTGATATTGTTTCTTGCTAGAAGAAACAATCTAAAGTCGTGCTCACCAACCCCTTGTGTGATTCTTGCTGAAGAATTAGGGTTCTTGCTGAAGAACCACCTTACTGATCCTGCCTCACCATAAGCTGTGTCATCTTCAGTGGAGGCGGGTTTTGGTCACCTCTTTGGGCGTGAACACCTACATTGGGAGTTATTGTTATTCCGTATCAGGTATATCCCTACTTACTTCCTTTTGGTTTCAGATCTGGTTCGGTTTTGTTTCAAGAACGAACCTTGAAAAATGCAGCTTTTCTAAATTATGGGAATACAATTCGCGAATGGGAGAAAGAAAATTTTTGAAATCTCACCCAACCACCATGCATGGTTAGGCCATCCATATGACGGATCTCTCATTCCTTTAGTGGTATCACAGCCAGGTTTAATCTTGAACCAAATCAAACCTGATTTGAACCTACGCAAATGGGCAGAATCGGTTCTACCCGATTTGCACAGTTTGCAGTGTTTTTGGGAATTGGTTCCCAGTTTTTGGGCGTATGGTCTAAAAAATTTAATTCTTTATTTATCTGCAATAATTACAGAATTGTTCTATCTTTATTTCTTGAATTTTGGGTTGTTTGTATGGTGGAAATCAAAATCTATTTTGGCACCAAGAATCTGCGCACCCTGCTGTATTATTCTATTCAATTCGGTCTGTAAATAATTTTTTTTGACGAAATGTATAGGATTTATTCAGATGTAAATTAATAGGTGTAGAGAACACTGATGTGAGCCCCACGGCTGTGGTCCCCACTGTGTTCGTAGGACAGTATGTGTAATTATTTGTTTCAGTCATGGTAGTGTCAGTTGGGGTCAGTTTGTTATTTCAGTTTTTATTTACTTTATTTGTCATGTGAGTACTAAGGGCAGATCTGTCCTTTTCTCTATGTACTGAACATAACCTATAAATACTAAGAGAGTGGTGGCAGCAGGTGTGTTAGAATTTGTCCCTTCTTTCAAACCTTTGTGTTCTCCTATTCCTCTTCTCTCTTTTCTCCTTCCTCTCACTTTTCTTCTACTTTTCTTAACCTAAAATCTATTAGGGTTCAAGGCTAATTGCAGTCTTGATCTTCTACTTGGTATCAGAGCCTATCTAGGGCTTCTCATGTGTGTCTAGTCCAGCCGACCACATGAGAACCAGCTAGGGCTGGAAGCTTATGAAGCAGTATTCGTCGGCTGATTCTTGGAGATTACCAGGAGAGTTTCGCAGCTGTTGAGGACTTGCCACGGCTTGCAGAGTTTTGGTAATCAGGAAGAAGCAGCGAAGGCTAGGGTTTAGGCAACCCTGGAAGGCAGCGAACAGCATTCTTTGAGTAAGTTTTATTTAGTTTCCAGAGACTGCTATTAGTCGAGATAGGTTGGACCTATCAAGAAGGAGAGGTCAAACTGCTTTAGGGTTTTTCTCTCTAATCTAGGGTTTGACTGTTGGGTCGAACCCTCTTTATCTTCTTGGAAGTGATCAGTTTTAGGGTTTCACATTGACCCTACGACAGGTCCTAACTGTACGGACTGCTTGGAAAGTGCGGCTGAGCACTTATTTCAGACCTACGATTAAAACCCTAATTCTGCTCCAGCATCTCAGATTGCTCTCTAAGCTGGTTTCAGACCTATTTTTGGCTTCGAGCTCTTCTAGGGGATAAAA